ATTTTGAAAAAAAAATATGAACCCTTTTAAACAAAATATCGGAAACCCCCCTTCCCCCCAAACTTTTTGAATCCCCCTTTTAGCATTAACCATCAAACTCAATTGCAGTCTTTCCTTTGTAGTATTGAACCTTGTAGTACAATTTTAGAGAGATACATACACTTAATCACAAGCTACTGTCTGGAAACTAGAAAAATGCTTTTTTTTAACCATAAAAGCCCATTTAAATACATCATGAAAGTATTAAAATAGTAAAATGACATCGTAGTCATGGCTAAAATTAAAAAAACCTTCATCAAAAACTTTTAATAGTAATATCTAAAAATAAAATTCCTTCATCAGCATTTAAAAGTAACTTCTAAAAATAAATTGACAGCTAGGACTTTGCAACCATAAAAACCCATTTAAATACAACATAAAAGTATTAAAATAGAAAATGACATCATAATCATGCCTAAAATTAAAACACTTTCATCAGCAACATTAAATAGTAATATCTAAAAATAAAATTCCTTCACATACATAATCATGGCTAAAATTAAATAATTTTCAAAATAGAAAATGACATCATAATCATGTCTAAAATTAATAAAATGCTTCGCTGGGGCGCAGCTTGATACGACCGCAGAGGTCGAACCCTGAACAGTTGGGGCAAGTATGGACACAACATTCAAGCTTGATACAGCTCTGAATTTGGATTGTTATTAAATATTTGACACAGCATAGGTTTCTGACACAGAAAGAATGTGGTCTAAGAACCTGAATTTTTTTAATTTACCTATTATGGTCCAATGTCCAAAATCAAAATACATGGTTAGATTCAGCATATCAAAGAACCCCATATATTCAATTTTTGTTAAAATCAAACAAAGTTTAATTTTGGACCCCAACTTGGACAAACTTGAAAACTGGGCCCATAATCAAAAATCTAAACACATGTTTAGATTCAGCATATCAAAGAACCCCAAGAATTCAATTTTTGCTAAAATCAAACTAAGTTTAATTTTGGACCCTTTGGACCTTAATGTAGACCAATTTAAAAAACGGGACTTAAAATTAAAAATCTAAATACACGGTTAGATTTGGAATATCAAAGAACCCCAATAATTCAATTTTTGATGAAATCAAACAAAGTTTAATTTTGGACCCTTTTGACCTCAATATGAACCAATTTGATAGCGGGGCCCACAAATAAAAATTCTAAATTCATGGTTAGATTCAGCATATCAAAGAACCCCATATATTCAATTTTTGTTGAAATCAAAAAAAGTTTAATTTTGGACCCCAACTTGGACCAACTTGAAAACTGGGCCCATAATCAAAAATCTAAACACATGTTTAGATTCAGCATATCAAAGAACCCCAAGAATTCAATTTTTGTTAAAATCAAACTAAGTTTAATTTTGGACCCTTTGGACCTCAATGAAGACCAATTTAAAAAACGGGACCCAAATTAAAAATCTAAAAACACTGTTAGATTTGGCATATCAAAGAACCCCAATAATTCAATTTTCGATGAAATCAAACAAAGTTTAATTTTGGACCCTTTTGACCTCAATATGAACCAATTTGATAGCAGGGCCTACAAATAAAAAATCTAAATACATGGTTAGATTCAGCATATCAAAGAACCTCATATATTCAATTTTTGTTGAAATCAAACAAAGTTTAATTTTGGACCCCAATTTGGACCAACTTGAAAACTGGGCCCATAATCAAAAATCTAAATACATGTTTAGATTCAGCATATCAAAGAACCCCATATATTCAATTTTTGTTGAAATCAAACAAAGTTTAAATACTGGACCCTATCTTGGACCAACTTGAAAACTGGGCCCATAATCAAAAATCTAAACACATGTTTAGATTCAGCAAATCAAAGAACCCCAAGAATTCAATTTTTGTTAAAATCAAACTAAGTTTAATTTTGGACCCTTTGGACCTCAATGTAGACCAATTTAAAAAACAGGACCCAAAATTAAAAACCTAAATACATGGTTAGATTTGGAATATCAAAGAACCCCAATAATTCAATTTTAGATGAAATCAAACAAGTTTAATTTTGGACCCTTTTGACCTCAATATGAACCAATTAGATAACGGGGTCCATAAATAAAAAATCTAAATACATGGTTAGATTCAGCATATCAAAGAACCCCATATATTCAATTTTTGTTGAAATCAAACAAAGTTTAATTTTGGACCCCAATTTGGACCAACTTGAAAACTGGGCCAAAAATCTAAAATCTAAATACATGTTTAGATTCAGCATATCAAAGAACCTCATATATTCAATTTTTGCTAATATCAAACAAAGTTTAATTTTGGACCTTTTGGACATTAATGTAGAACAATTTGAAAACTGGACCCAAAATTAAAAATCTAAATACACTGTTAGATTCGGCATAACAAATAAATAAATGTGATCAAAGATTTTACAAATCTAATGCGCCATACTGTGCAATTAAAGATTACTTCTTGAAATTTTTCAATATTTGAAATTTGAAAAAAAAATAATATTTGAAGAATAATTCTTTTTAATTTCTGAAATCTGAAATGAGAAAAAATTGGCCCCCCACAATTTCTTTTTATCCCCCCCCCCCTTTTTCCCCCCAAAAAATTCTTTCCCTCAAGATATGGTCATAATCTCAATTCAAATTTCCAATGGAGTTGGCAACCATAATTACCCATTTAAATTTACCATAGTGCTAACTTAATCTATTTTATAATAGAATTAATAAAAATATAGTGTCAAATCTTTCATATGGATTTTTTTGTAAAAAAAAAAGATGAAAACATTTGCAGATATTTTTACTGGTCTTCCTTTATAAATATGCATTTCTTTAAACATAATTTAAAAGCAGTGTAAGGGAAGTAACCAAAACGTTGTATTTGGATTACCTCCCTTACACTGTTTTAGATTATCTTTATTGTTCATTAACCATTACTTTATACATAATTTAAAAGCAGTGTAAGGGAGATAATTTCAATGATGTATTTGATTTATCTCCCTTACACTGCTTTAAATTATGTTTTGTACTAAAGTATTTGTCCATTAACCAGGACAACCTTGTTTTTCCCCCTTTTTTGCCCCTAATTCCTAAACGGTTTGAGCCATAACCCCCCAAAGCAAATTCTAACCATCCCTTTGTGGTATGGAAACTTGTAGTATAATTTCAGAGAGATCCATACACCGTTCCACAGTTATTGTCTGGAAACTAGAAAATGCTCATTTTTGGCCCCTTTTTGGCCCCTAATTCCTTAACTGTTGGTACCATAACCCCCAAAATCAATCCCAACCTTCCTTTTGTGGTATTTAACCTTATGGTCAAATTTCAAAAAGATCCATTCACTTAAACTAAAGTTAGAGTGCGAAAACCAATATGTATTCGGACGACGACGCCGGACGACGACGACGACGACGACAACGACGACGCCGGACGACGACGACGACGACGCCAACGTCATACCAATATACGACCACAAAATTTTTTTGCGGTCGTATAAAAAGCCTCCATCAGCAACATTAAATAGTAATATCTAAAAATAAAATTCCTTCACATACATAATCATGGCTATAATTAAATTACCTTCATTAAACATTTTTAAAATAGTAACTTCTAAAAATAAATTGACAGCTAATCACCTATAGACAATACATTTCTTTATAAATAATTTACAAGCAATGTAAGGGAGGTAATTTGACAATATGTGTTTAAAGTACCTCCCTTACACTGCTTTAAAATTATGTTTTGTACATAAGTAATTGTCCATTAACCTGGAAACCCTTGTTTTTCCCTCTTTTTTGCCCCTTATTCCTGAACTGTTAGGACCATAACCCCCAAAATCAATCCCAACATTCCTTTTGTGGTCATAAACCTTATGGTAAAATTTCATAGAAATCCATACACTTTATTGTCCGGAAATCAATGTGTCTTCGGACGACGACAATGACGATGACGACGTGATACCAATATACGACTGCAAAATTTCTTGCGGTCATATAAAAACAGACCAAAACACAAAAACTTAACATTGAGCCATGAACCGTGAAAATGAGGTCAAGGTCAAATAAAACCTGGCAGACTGACATGTATATCGTAAAATATTTCCATACACCAAATATAGTTGACCTACTGCATACAGTATTAGAAAAACAGACCAAAACACAAAAACTAAACTATGACCACTGAACCATGAAAATGAGGTCAAGATCAGATGACACCTGCCAGTTGGACATGTACACCTTACAATCATTACATACACCTAATATAGTAGACTTATTGCTTATAGTATCTCAGATATGGACTTGACCACGAAAACTTAACCTTGTTCACTGATCCATGAAATGAGGTCAAGGTCAAGTGAAAACTGTCTGACAGGCATGAGGACCTTGCAAGATACGCACATACCAAATATAGTTATCCTATTACTCATAATAAGAGAGAAATTAACATTGCAAAAAATCTTTACTCTTTTTTTCTAGTAGTCACTGAACCATGAAAATGAGGTCAAGGACAATGGACATATGACTGACCGAAACTTCATATCATAAGGCATCTATATACAATGTATGAAGCATCCAGGTCTTCTTCCTTCTGAAATATTAAGCTTTTAAGAAGTAAGTTAATGCTGCCGCCGGATCACTATCCCTATGTCGAGCCTTCTGCGACAAAAGTTGCAGGCTCGACAAAAATGGGTGTTATGGTGCAAAATATTTTACCATGTATTGTAGTCCTAACATCTGTATATTGCTGTATATCATATTTGTTCATTATTTTTTACATAAATCAGGCCATTAGTTTTCTCGTTTGAATTGTTTTACATTTGTCATATCCGGGCCTTTTATAGCTGAGTATGCGGTATGGGTTTTACTCATTGTTGAAGGCCATACGGTGACCTATAGTTGTTAATTTATGTGTCATTTGGTCTCTTGTGGAGAGTTGTCTCATTGGCAATCATACAACATCTTCGTTTTTTTCTTTATATTCAACAATAGATAGTATTTGTAACTTTATTTCAAGTTATTTTAACAAAAGTCTTTGCACTGTAATCCTGTCCTTGACAACATCTCCCTGTCATCACCACAGCAACTAAGGAATTGGCCCTCACATGTTTCAACACCTTTGACATCCTTTTGTCTTGTTTCCGTAATAAATGCTGGAAATAAATAAAAATACAAATTAATCTATTGTTATAGTGTTATAAAGAGGGTAGGAATGTATTTATGATCAGACTGGAACAAAGACTTTATTTGTCCTTTTTAACTGTTTTGATTCGATTGTCACTGATGAGTCTTTTGAAGGCGAAAAGCATGTCTTGCATACAAAATTCTAATCCTGGTATTTATTATGAGTTTATTTTCTACCACCATAAGGTTTAATGATTTTGTTGAGTTATTATCTTCGTTGGTCAAGTCTTACTTTTGACCTACCATCAAATTACAGAGTAATTTATCTCTAAAATAACTGTAAAGCTAAACATTTTATAATCATCTTGTCAATGAGGAGTTACCCATTCCCAAACTCATAATAAAGTGGCTCCAACATGGTGAAATCAGACCTTCAAGCTTGGAGGGTTTTGCTGAAGACCTTGCGACCTGACATCTCATTAAAATGACCTGTGACCTTAAAATTTTTTTTAAATCTTACTTAAATATGCTTAAAGGGAATTGTGATATTGTTTCGTAATAAATGCTGGAAATAAATGTATAAACAAAAAAATCTATTGTTAAAGTTTTAAAAAGATGGTAGGAAAGTCTTTATCATCAGGCTGGAAACACGGACTTTAATTTGAGGCATAATCTCAAGAGCAAATATAATCATACCATTTTTTCTTCCTCATCATTACTATCAAGCATCTCTTTGTATGAAGGGAAGTTCAAATAAACAAAGTCATGGAACTGTACCAATGATTTCCCAGTAGATTTCGTATCTCTATCACAATTTGTAGGTACTGCTGTCATTGTGTCATCCTTAAACTGTTCCAATGTTGCAGCTTTGTCAATCAATCCAACTGAAATAACATTAAAGAATGCATAAATCTTTATACTCATTCAATTTATAATCAAGGCAGTTATCAAAATTGAAAACCTGTTAGAAAATCAAATTTCAAACTAACCCATAAAATTGCAAAAAAATAGTTCTCTAAAAAAATGCATTTACAATAGGTGAGGATGATAACCGATGTCCAGTGGCAACTACTTCAAACATATACAAGATGATAACATATACATGTGACATGACTGTGAATTCTGTTTTGTACTAGATCAACATGCTGGAAAGGTTTTTTAAATGCTATTTAAAAGTCTGCAGGAAGACATATATACGTCACCGTATGGTACCCTGAAAAATTATTTTGACCAGAGCTGAACAGTCTGCTCTTATTCCTAAATGTGGTGTGCTTTAGTGTAAACAACGTTTTATTATGAAATTAAATACATCTTATACAACATAAATTTATATTGTGGCAAATAGGATTAAAAAACAAGCAACAAGTGCTTATATTATGCTTGTGGTGTGCTTTGCAAGATTATTTTCTCTGTATTTGGATTGCCATCTCCATTGTGTATCCCTGTACATCTCTATTTATTGACTTTTAAATATGTATTTTTGTAATTTGGAATGGAAATATAGATTTGACAAAACAAATGAATGCATATCTGTTCTAACAACATTCACACTGAATTAAATAATGTATCATGAACCTTTTTTTGTTTTACCATTATTTCTCTAGATCTTGATTTTTTTTTATGAAATGTCTGTTTGTTAATTTTTTTTATTTTCAAACATAAGCTGTCATCACAAAAATCAAAACAACTTACCCATTTTATTTTGTTTCTTTATCAGAGCAAACAGACTTTCGTACAGATGACTACCAGCCTGCTGAAAGAATGCTTTCCTTTGTTGAATAAGATCAGGTCCAGATTTTCTCTCTGCCTGACAAGATTTACATTCAGTGTCAGCATCGGTTTCATCACAAGTACAATGTTCTGACTCTTTGTTTTTACTCTCTTCTCCTTCACTATGTTCTGACTCCATTTCGTTTTTACTTTCTCCTCTATCACTACAATTGTCTTTATCTTTTTTTTCTAATTTTGTCATTTTTTTGTCTTTGATATCTTCACATTTTTCAGTCTTTATATCCACATGATCTGTATTTTCATTGACTAATGCACCGTCGACCTTCTCCTCTGATGTACTTTTCTCTTCTGTTTTCACTTCTACATTCCCCTCTGATGCACTTTTCTCTTCTGTTTTCACTTCTACTATCTGTGGATATAAAACTCCTCCATTGACTACATCCCCAAAGTTTGGTGCTGAAAGTAATATATGGCAAACAGATTAAAGATAAATCTGCAATAACAGTTTCCACTCTAAAATAGTACCCATTCATGGGCCAAATTCACTCTTTAAATCTATCAAAATACAGGAATTATAGGTTCAACAGCCATTAAAACATATAAATAAGTGAAGTATATACAAAGTGTTCTCAAAAAATATAAGCTCATAGGAGCATGAACTCTAAGCTACCAAATTTACCCTTATAAGATCACATCTGCAAAATTTAGCTATATATGGTCTTGCTTTTATCAATCTCCTTCAAAACAGTTCACCTTGTGTGTTTTTTTTTTAAATTGCCGATTCAGAATAAAAAATTGTCATCCTTTCAAAAGAAAATCATTTGTAGAAGACTTTGCATACATCATTACTTGAGAGAATTAAAATTGGCTAAGTAGTTTCATTGAAGAAGGAGAAATATAATTTTCCATAGTGTTCCCATGGTAAATATGTGCTGCAATGTTTGCCACCTAATCAACATTAAAAGAGGATTGATTATAGAGCATATCCCATCATTACATTTCACTATCATGAGTTGCAGTTTTAGAGGAGAAGACTATTTAAAATCGGCCAATCAGAATAAAAAAATTGCCATTGTTTTTCATTCAAAAAGAATGCATGGCTTCATCAATATGAATCTTTGACGATCAACATTAATGCAAAATTAATTCATGTGATTTTTTATTTTGTTTGTAAAAAATACTACAAGCAAATATTGAAATGCAACTTTTCATATTTTATGCTGTCGTAATTTATCAAATAAATTTCTGCCTTCCTCCCTCTTTTTAAAAACTTAAGTGATAATTAAATTTCTCTTGATTTTTGTCCTCAAGCTTATTAATATTTTTATGGTTTGAAATTAATCAAATTGGTTTTGAGGGGATTTCTTATGTCCCTTTCTACCCTACCACATATATTTTTATTGTAAAGCCCTTATTCAAGTAATTGATCCTGAAATCCTCTGTATAAGTAGTACCCCGGGCCCTGACATTGTATAAATAGTACCCCTGACATTGTATAAATAGTACCCATGACCCTGTTTAAGTAGTACCTGTGACCTTGTATAAGTAGTACCCATGACCCTGTATAAGTAGTACCCATGACCCTGTTTATGTAGTATCCATGACCTTGTTTAAGTAGTATCCATGACCCTGTATAAGTAGTACCCATGACCCTGTTTAAGTAATACCCATGACCCTGTTTAAGTAGTACCCATGGCCCTGTATAAGTAGTACCCATGACCCTGTTTAAGTAGTACCCATGGCCCTGTATAAGTAGTACCCATGACCCTGTTTAAGTAGTACCCATGACCCTGTTTAAGTAGTACCCATGACCCTGTTTAAGTAGTACTCATGACCCTGTTTAAGTAGTACCCATGACCCTGTGTAAGTAGTACCCATGACCCTGTGTCAGTAGTACCCCAGACCCTGTATAAGTAGTACCCATGACTTGTAACATTCAAAGTTTTCTTTTTTTTTTGGACCTTGATATTAGAAATTCTCAATTTTCCTCTGATCTATATTGTAACTTACAATGTTTAAGTTTGAGTTGAACCAGTTCCATTGTGGTAATAGCATCTTCTACAGAGGAATGGCCTTCTTCACTACTCTGAATATCCTTACTAGAAATAGAAGATATAACCTGTTAAAAATAACCACATCATCTTTGATCATGAGACTAAACTGCATAAACATTAGATGGAGAACAAGATTTATTTTTATAAATATTTTTTTTCATTTCTAATTTTCTACTGATCTAGATAGTAACAACAAGATGTATTGTGATGTTTTGCTCACTAATTATTCTCTGTAAAAAGGAAGTAAAAATGGAAGGAACTGATATTGTTAATCATGGTGTGGCATATCCAGATGAGTCAATACATCAAGAAGCTATAACTTGAACAGTTGCTGAAAAAACTAAGATGAAATTTCAGTTCTATACAGGAGATTTAAAAAAAAAATGTTCACCAATAGTTACCCTAAGAAGTGAGCAGCTAGCCTACGCAGACTAGTTTTCTGTGATCTGTGACCAGATAGGTTGTATATCACACTTGTATCTATCACATATGGATGGAACAACTAAAACAGAAGAAGTAGCATTATAAATTATTAAATTATAAGCAGTCATAAAGTCATACCCCTTTCCCCTTATTTTACAGGTATTGCATAGTCCATGTGTTACTGTGTAAAACCCCTGAATAATTCATATTGAAAAAAAAATTTGAGAAACATAATGTTATCGCTACTTTGTGTATTTTTCCTTTGATCTTTTTTATGATAATCTTTCATATCATGCTAGGCTCTTGAGATAAAAAATTATCGTCAGAAACTAAGGGCTCACATGCTGTTGTCAATGTAAACACCAACGACGTCATAGGGAAAATAGAGATAAACATATTATCAATGGTCATTCAAACTCGAGGATGTTTCTCTGCCACATCTCATCTCAGGGATGTCACCCTTCAATGAGATTGTAGCTGAGAAACACCCTCTGGTTTGAAAAACCATTGATAATCTATAATTATTATGACTGTTAGAAATAATCTATGAAATTTTGAATGTCACTGTTTTAGGAAAAGTTGTTGTTAAGAATGAGTTGGTGTAATCACATATTGTATATAGACACATAGATAAATAACGAGAGATAGAGAGATAGATACATGGATATGTTTTTTTCCAATCATTCACAATGTTATTTTGAAGCACAGATAATAATCTTTGTCCTTCAGAAGTTCTATAGTAGTTTTTCTTACATTAATGACTGTATGCTTCACACCGCATACCAAACTTTTGAGCAGATATGACAATAGATCAGATAAATGTACATACCCTGAGAGCCGCTAGATCCCCTTTCAGTGATTGTCCACATACAATAGCATCAACAGGTAAAGTTTTATGTAGAAACCTTTGAACAGTCTTCAATCTTGTTTTAACTGGATCTAATATAGCTTTCGTAACACCGCTGTACCTGAAATCATGAATGTCAATAAAAATTAATGAATGACTAAGTTTCATGATTAAATAATGTTAATTTACATTGTATCATCTAGTTAAACCTTGAATACAACAAAAATTAATTCTAATGCAATTATTTTGTATCAATGGTTCTGATTGGATGACAATAAGTGTAAAATTCTCTATCTCCCTGTCTGTAACTAAGGAAGACGACATTTTGAATTCGGAATGTATTGACATGTAATTTCTCCAATGATAAGCAAAAAAACTTACATTTTGCACCGAGAAATCTTCTTTTTATCAAATTTTATTACATTCTGAAGCGGACAAGAAGCCAGAAAAACGCCTGGTGTTTACGTTTGATGCCGGAAGCATACCTATGACGTCACCTAGTTAAGGCGCCAAAGAAGATAACATCATTTTGCGGAATTTTCGTTTAATGAAAATTTACACTAAAATAATGACTTAAATTGAATGATTTGTTTATTTTGCATTAGAATAGAGATAACTGTATCGTATTTGAAGCTTTGTGGACGTCCATCGGTAGTTTTACTGTCGCAAATATCCGATTACCTGTCTCCGCTACGCGTCGCCAGGTAAACTAAATTTGCGACAGTAAACCAACCAATGGACGTCCGCAAAGCTTCAAATACGATACAGTTATCTCTAAATTAAAAAAGGAGATGAGAGTTCACATATTGGATAAATCAATGAGACAACAACACATCAACAGAGAAAACATAATATAAAACCCAAATGACATGTAGATAACTTTAGCCAAAAATAATGCCTCAAAAGTATCTTACATTTTTATTCTATGTATCTGTGACAGAGTTGTATAATCAAGTGGTAAAAACTGACTAATCCCTCACACAAAATAAAGAATTACATCATCAAATAAGATGAATTATCAGCTATAGCTCACTAATGATACCCCACTTTATTTTTCAGTAAAAAGGAAGATGATGAGCAATGCATTTGAAAACACGTGACATCACACACTATGCCATGCTCTCATGAAACTTGATACCAAATTATAGAAGCTCTGATTAAAATAAAAATTTAAATTATAATTTAATACATGGCCATTATGTGTAACAATATATTATAAGTATTAGGTTAACATGAAGCTGATGAGGGATGGATGTGAAAATACATCACACTGTACAGGTATAGCATGCACATGAACAAAGGTTCAGAAACAGTCATATTTGCCAGACATGACCTAAACTGAAAGGTCAATGACCAAAATGGCAAATTGGTCCAAAATTATTTTTTTTACAGAAATAATTTCGGTCAAAATTATATCTAACAAGTATAGACCACTTTCGAATTATGTCCTTCACCGGAAAAGTTCGTATATTTTGTGCGCCTTTGTGACGTCATTTACCAGATGGAGGGGATCGCCTGTATCCCTGCTCTATTAAAGTTCATCAAGCGTCTTCGTGATCGTCATTATGCAGGATAAACTAGAAATAATATTTGTTCCGTAAGTACTTAATCACAATTCCTTAATGACAGCAGTGCTGATTATTAATTATAAGGCTTTAATTTGCCGAATAATTCGTGCAATATAGCATTATCATTTTTTCAACCAATCACTCAACATAGGAACGGAAGTGACAACGCCCCTAAACGCACAAATGATGTTCACTAAAACCAAAGTTTTTGACGGAAATGCAACGAACTCGAAAGTTGTCTATTGTTACAAAACAAGCAAACAACCTTCGGTAATAATTCTCACAAAATGAAAATAGTGCCAAATTGATAATATTACCATTGTTTTAAATACCATCACAACCCTCAAAACAATATCATAGTTGTAAAGTGACATGATATTCGCGTGTAATACACGCTTTTTCAACGGTTTACACGCAAGGATTTTGTCACATGGCGTGGACACGCTTTTCACCACTTTACACGCTTTTTCGTTGTTTTGATTTTTTGGTCGTTAGTGATATCGCGATTCTCTGGTTTTTTCATTACTTGACGATAAATACCGAAAATTTCGAAACAATTGTTTGGACGCCATTGAATATTTTTCTTATGAATGAACAGCAAAAGCCCTTAAGGTAAGTAGTTTGTGATTAGTTTTTACGATTTTGAAGGATTTTCTTTCTTTCAAATTCACTTAGGGGAAGTGTCCACAGAAAGAGGTCGCTTTCTGGACCTGTACTGTCGTCTAAAGAGTCGATTGCTAAGCGAAAACGATGTGTACATACCAAGATAATTTCAAGATTTATAAATTATATTTGGGAGTTCGAGTTTAAATGATCGACGGACGAGCAAAGCATAATGTGCACCCTATGTTGCAATCATAACAATACATGCGAGAGGAGAACTACAACGTAGTTATTGGATTAAGCATTTAACATGTTGAATGGTAATCAAATTTTACGATATTTTTCTTTTTCAGTTTCAAATCTGGCCAACAGATTTCCACAACCAATAGGGGATGGAAATATCACGGAACTGTTGGATCAGTTCTCATAGTACCAGCTGTCTTCTGATGAACTTCTCAGCTACACCAGGCAATAGCAACATATCTGACATGTATATAATTTGTTGGGAGCAATGGCAGAGATAATATATGACATTTTATATGGCAAAAAAACGTTATGAGACTCTTTCAAAGCTTAATAAAGCTATTATATATATATATATATATAGTTCAACAAGATCAATTCTGACTGTGAGAGAGCATTTTCAATTATAAAGAAATGTACACTGAATTCAGATCAGAACTTGACAATGATATATTGTGTGCCTTGTTATCATGTAAATTTAACCAAACTGGCAATTGTTTAGAATATGTGCATAGTGGTGTTGCTTTAAAAGCAGCAAAACAGACCACTGTTGAAAACAATAAAAGTTTACAGTAGAATATTGTTTTTTATTAACAAATTTGTATATTGTGAAAAAGTCTGCATCTACGTCGTGTGTTTTCACACGCTTTTTGACATGTCATGTCATGTCATGACATGATTTCTCATTGTCAGAGGTTGGCAAGTATGCAATATTGTTTATATTTTATTATAGATTTGTATCATTGCTTGTTAATAAAGTAATTTTACCTTGTGACATAATCTGTAATGGGATTATAAGGTTTAACAAAGCTGTCATAAACAACTTCTAGATTCTCATTAACAACAGATACTCTCGTCAGTTCATACTTCTTTGCTGTAGTCACACACTGTAATAAACAAAGTCACTGAAATTAAACACTGAAATATAAACAGTCACTGAAATAACAGTCATTAAAACTATATGCACTGAAACTAAGAAAGTCACTGAAATTATACACTGAAACTTACAAATCTCTGAAACTGTACACTAAAACTAACAAAGTCACTAAAATTATACATGTACACTGAAATCAACAGTCACTGAAAAAAGCAGTTCATTTTACACATCAATAACCTCTAGCAAAAATTATTTAGAAATTTTAATATAAATTTGTAGGACGTTTCAGTGATCTGGGTTGAAAACTGTAAGAGGAGTTGATTACACAAATAAGGTATCCCCTTTTTGCCATCCGACATCACCATACAATAGTATTAGCTGGTTTATGACTTGGCATTATATCGTTTAGATTGTGAGAAAGTTTCAATAAATTGTAATAAGGGGTTTAACAAAATAAACCTTTAAGTTGGGATACAAAATGGGGTAGCCCGAAAAATTAATCTAATAAAAAAAACAAAACAGGAAGTGAAAAAACACATCATGTGATTAACATTTGTGATAGTTTCCAAAAAATTCTGTCTTGCTGTTACTAAAGTGGGACAGCAGGACAAAGGAGCAAATGATCAGTTGGACAGCAGACTGCTGTAAATTCAGATATTATTGCCTGCATTTATTATCGCTATTTCTAAAGAATGGACAAAAATGTGAGATTAATTATTGCGATTTCAGGAAAATCTGCATACAGATAAATGTATCAGGTATCAGAATGCAAGTTCTGATTATTGTGATACCCACCTGGTTGCATTATTTGCATTTATTAAAACCTTGTAATAATTTCTGAATTTACAGCCTGATTTAAAAGGAAGTTTTCTTACTATAACTATAAGTATTTCTTTCACAACAAATAAAAGTAAAACATGAAACTGCTGAGTATTTCCACCAAACACCACATAAAAATATAACTTATATTTCCTTCTACCATAATCACAAATCATATATTTTATAACTAATTACTAACCATTTCACAATCAATAGCAAACATAGGACTCTGGTTGGTCACTGTTGAATAGCCTTCTTTGGAAAACACATACTTTTTATAGCCACCTGAAAATATAAATTCCATTTACTCTAAAAAAAAAATAAAGTCTTTGTAGATTAAATTAATTGTAACTTCCGAACTTAATGTGTGCATTTGAGAATTTGTGAATTTTCCACTACTACCCGTAATGCAAGAAAAAAATAATCATTTACCTGCCTGACTAATATATTCCCAAAGAAAAACATAAATGCACATGTTGTTGTGCAAAGCATATCCCCACTTAAAAACAAGAATTAGGTGTCCAACAGATCCAAAAGGTGCACAAACATAACATCTCATCATTGTTAGGCTGCTGACTAATATCAAAATTAGTCTTTTCTGTAGTACTTGTAACTTGAGAAAAGTGTGACAAAAATTTGAAGTTCATTCAACAAATTGAAAAATTTAAAGTATTGCCACATGTTTTTTATGTGTCAGTACAAAGTCATCAATGATTTCAATGGTCATTTCTTCCTAATCATGCTTTATGTCTAGAAAAAACTATATTCAAAGATATTTGGTCTTCTCTCTTAAACTAGTTGTGCAAGTGATTCAGTTTGTTGTAAGTTTGCTGTCTTATTGACATTAACCCCTCCCATACTAGATACTTATAGTTACCATGGTAAATAGGAAGTGGGAAGTCTTCCAATATCATCTGTGGTAGACTGAGCAGTAGACTTGTTCTGGAAAACGAATCATTCTTATGAAGTTCTCCTAGATCTGTGTCAATACCAGCATTGTGAAAACTAGTTGATAATTGTTTTTGGTCATGTGATATGTTCATATCAGAAGCACCAGTAGACTTTTTCTCCGTATCAGTTTCTGATGAGTCTGTTGGATTGACATCTGACAATGTATATTTGTCTATGCTAGATAATTCTTTGTCTTTGCTATGTTTTTCCGTGTCAGTTAAACTGTTACTGGATTTGTTCTGAATGTCTATACTGTAGCCAGGTGGTCTGGTGAATTTGTTTATCAAGTTTTTTGTCTGTTTTGGTATCACACCTAGAAAAATAGAAAAATTATAAAAAAGATAGCATACTTATATACTGTGTATTAATCTATTTTTTATGGGTACCAATCTTCGTAGATTAAGGAATACTGTATTTTCGTGGATATTTAATTTAATTTCATGGTTTGGACAATGTCTGCATAAAAGCCTATAGAAAGGAGTAGGTCCGATTTTGGCCTCAAATTTCAGGTTCATCTGATGAAAGATTTTGGACACTTTTTAAACACTTAAGTGTCTTCTTCAGTCGATTCAATTAGTATAAGTGAAAGATTTGGACTGATTAAGTCATTTCAGACCCTCAAAAATTCAAGCTTAAATAGGAAAAATTAATCAAATATGCTATAATATGTCAATTTTCAGATGGTTTTTGTCAAAAATGAAAGTGGCGGCATTCGTGTTCACTCTCAACCTTTATATATGCTATGTATTATCATCAAATACAACTTACATTAAAATATTAAGAATGAACACAAATGCGGCCACTTCCACTTAAGACGGAAACCGTCTAAAATTTGACTCAAATGCTAAAATTGTGAAGATTTCAGTAATTTAGCATGACTTAATGATGCTAGTACCCGATATGTGCATTGTATTGTCAAAAACAGCCCATATTTATGTAGCCGAAGTATTCTACTTTCCAATAAATAGCTAAAAGTTAACATTTTAACAATTTTGAAAAACTGCTATATTTTTGGGCCAAAAAGGGGTCTTACTGGACCTACTCCTTTGTACTTAGTTGAACATTTAAATTCATAGTTGACCTGTATCCATGAAATCAATGAAAACTGGTATCCCATGAATATTAATGTATTCAAAGTATGTACTTCCAAGTTTATCAAATATTTCATTATGAATGATTCGTTCAAAATATTTGTAAAAAAGGATTAGCAATGAAGGCAAAATATATTTTTAAGAAAACAACATTCTTATAAGTATGTCTATATTTCTTTTCCATGATTTTTCTTGCATTATCATAGCTTTTATATGGTTGATTTATTTTCAATACTATCATGACTATTGGGGAGTTGTAACAATTAATCTTGTTCCCTTTTGTCTTTGATGAAGGTTGTTTTGCGCATAACAAATGATTTAATTATTGTTGATTCATTTTCTAGGAAAACAATTTTCATAGATTTTAGAAAATTGTGTTTTAAGGATTACTAAATTTCATTGTTTTAACAAATGATGCAAGCCTATACACTCTGACTGAAATGCAGAACCTGTCTTTTGCTGACAGGGATCTGACAATGGTGCATTTTACTGTCTGTTTTAGATATCTTTTGGCATTGTTTTTTTTTTTTCCAATGATACTCACCTTAAAAAATTTGAAGGCTGAAATATCTCCTGCTGATGTAATGATTACCAGAACAGAAAGTAAAACAGAGTGATGTCAGATCCTTGTTAGCAAAGCTTGGACACAGGATCTGCATTCTAATCAGATTGAAACCTATGGCATTTTTTTATTTTGATGAAAATTCAAATTTGCTTCACTATACCTATAACATGCATGAAAATTAGTAACACACAAATAATAATGATCCATAGAAATGGATATCATCAATTAACTTCTGGTTCTTTTGGTGTTCGCTATGAATACTGTTTGACTGAAGTAAGCAGGTATAGATTTATCAATTGTTCTGTACCATAAGATAGTGGTCAACAGTCACGCTATGAAGCTATTTTATATAAAAGTAACAGTCATCAAGAAAAAATAAATGTGTACACCAACTGTTGCTTAAAAAAACTGAGAATGTGTTTCTAGTTTTTTATAAGTATACATACCATTTATTTTCCTTATTTCCCTGTTACTCATCGGAACATTAAACAAATCCTCACTGACTGTACTTCCATACTGTTCTGGGGAAATCATATCTGCTGACTAAAACACAAAGAAGAAGAAATGATGATGATCATTGAATTCAAAAGCCAAAAATATGCCTTATTTCACGATATTGTTATATATATTTAAACATGAGGCAAGGGTTTACCACTAAAGATATTTTGATACAAGATATTTTATACAAAGTTGCTAATGTGGGTAAAAATGTTTTTGTGTAAGGTCTTGCCTTTTTACAAATTTTACCCAAAACTTTGTGTAAAATTGCAATTTTAGGTGAAAAATGTGTATTTTTAACATTATATGTTTTTGTGACACCACATCTGATTTTTTTTAAAGTGAAGTGTCCAGAGTATATCATCCTTTTCATTTATCAGTAGAACTTTTGAAAGAATAGAAATCTTTAAAATTGTTTGCAATACCAAGAACCAAATAATGGCTCTGATTTTACCTCCTCCTTTATAGCTAAATTGTTTTTGAGTCATTTCTAATTTTCATCAAGAGTCTAGGACATCTGGTCTAGGTATAATGAACTTATCTTAGTAATAACACAGGACTTATCATCAACACATTAGTAAATTATCCTTTGTTGTAGGAATCGATGATTAAAATGATTTACTTCATCCATGTTCCAGATACTTGTTTCCCAATAAAATCTGATGTCCATGCAGCTCTTTTCTGTAGCGCATTTTAAATTTTACTTTGAAATAAAATGATAACATGATTTCATAACATAGTCATAAAACATATTGCTGGATACATTACCATATCAAACTGTGTCTTAAGTCTTGTGAAGCAGTCTGGGTATGTCTCGTATTCATAACTGCTCACGGAATCCAATACAATCACTACAACGCTGGTTACCTTACCTACTCTGAGCAACTTACACCATCTGAAATGGTAAGATACCAGTTAATTACATTCAATAATCTGCTAAACCATAATAAATATTATAATAACACTGGTTACCTTTCCTTCTCGAAGTAACCTACATTAAGATACCAGTTGAATCTTTTAATACTCTGAGCAATCTGAGAAACTAGCAAGTAAATTGACAAAAGTAATGACATATATATTTAACATATTTATGCAAATTTGAATACAGAGATGTGCAATTAAGGGACATAACTCTGTAGGTAGATAGACAATGAAGCCTAAAGTAAAGTCCAGTATATATAGAAAGAATCATTTAACCAAATAAAACTATCTTACAATTACCTAGGTTTGTATGTGGATACATTTCCCTGTGCAGCATACAGTAGTAAATGTTGTAAGTCCAAGAGAAACAAAGGTGGCATCTCCTTGAAAGTTAAATCTTGTGACATATGTCGACTGTGTTGGAACTGTAGTTCTTCTAGCAGTAAAAAGACTTTAGGCTTCTCCTTAAACAATTAAGAATATGGTTTAATATCTGTATCATATTGACTGGTGAACATGTTCAAATGGTTTTTCAATTTAAATGTGTCAAATATCCAATTTGCATGAGGAAATATATAAATAAGGAGATGTGGTATGAGTGCCAGTGAGAAAACTGTTCACCAGAGACTAAATGAAGTAGATGTAAGCAACTATATGTCATGCACTTGTCATATGACCTTCAACAATGAGTAAAACCCATACTGCATTGTATAGTTGGTTGAAAAAAACATTTAGCTTGTCTATTAAGAGTCACAACAAAAATTACAAAGCAAGTATAACTCAATATGTTGAACATGTATATTATGTTTGACATAGCATCAAGAAAAACTTTAAACTGAGGTGAAGTGTCATTATTTGACTTGTTACGTTTTCTTGTTTATCTTTTTATTTTAAATGAATTCAGATTTCATACCACAGTTGAACAAATATAAGTTATTGGTATTTCCAGTAAATGTATTTCTAAGAAAGCATGTTCAACAATGTTTACATCATGAGCATCAGACTAAGAAATGGAAGTTGTACAAGTAATCAAACAATAAATATCTTCCTAAAGCTACATACCATACTAGCTTTCTGTCTGTCTCTCAGAAGTTTTCTGAAGCGAACTAAATCATCCATTGTCTTTGTTTCAGTCTGATTCTGTTCTGTAACTTTTGATTTCTTTGCTTTAGAATCTTCATCTTCAGAATCTTCATTTTGTTTCGTTACCTGTGAATAAAAATAAGGGTGTTAAAGATTCTACTACTACAGCATTTGTACAGGGTGTTTAACAACCTTGACTACCCATGAGGGTCTCAAACAGTCAGTGTAGGTTCATGACTGATTGAGCTAAATGTCTCTAAAACTGAAATCCAGTTGATAGATTTTTTATTGACAATATATATCATAGTGTACTGGTACATGTGTGTGGGCATGTTTTATAAAAGACCTGTTAGAATTCCAATAAGAACAAAAATTGAAAATGCGTATTTTCTAATTTTCTTCTATTTTTAAGTATGATGCTGTTTTTTTTATTGCAATGAACAAGAAGAAAAATGCCATTAGCTTAGTGTAAACCTATTTCAGTTTCCAAATAGACAAATGCCATTAGTTTAGTTTAAACCTATTTCAGCGTTTAAAAAAAAATGAATCAGACTCAACATTTGCAATTAAGTAACTTCTCCAAAACATACAGAAATAAACTCATGAATGAATACTAACGAAGCAGAAACTGTTGACTCTCATGTAACACATGAGTTCAACCCTGGTATTGGTGGGGTTGCTCAATTATTAGTTTTCTGTGTAAAAGTTTTATTGTTCTTTTTTTGGGGGGGGGGGGAGGGACACATTTTCCCAAGATTAACGCTATGCTGGTTGTAGCTTAAAAATATGTTGATATGTTGTACTGAATGAGGATAAAGATATTTAGGCTCATTTGAAATTTGAAATTAAAGACAGCCAAAGGATATGATTGACCCTTGACATGCTAGTTGAGAGGGAACTGATTTAACATTGAAAATCACAATGATCACCAAGTACAATTTAAAACATACTTTATTGATAAATAACTCAAAAGGATCAGATAGTAGGCTAAACCCCTTATTCTATAAACATCCATTTGAAGTATGTACATGTGCACAAAGACAATTTTATACTCTAAGGGAAATAACTCAAATTATATTATGCTTCCAAAGATCCAAATAACATTAAATGATTATCATGATCATGTTTAATAATATATGAGCTTCTTTGCTTAGTTTATTTGATTATGAGAGGTGTAGCCAGGGTTTGTGTTGTGAGAGTCATAATGGTATGATGAGTCTTGAGGTTGGGGGAGGGGGTGATAGGATTGCTTCCCGTGCATACTGTAAACAGGGATATTTTTTTATGGCAGTTTTATTTTCACTATTTTCGAGTTAAGAGTGGAAACATGAAAACTTCTGCAACTATTTTAAGGAGAACTGATTCAAAGAATGAAGACCATCTATTAACGTATGCCCATAATAGGATTATGTATACAGGGCCAATTTATAACAACAGTTTTTCAGACGACAGATCTATATCACAAATTAAAAACTGTATTTGTTTGTTGAAACAAAAACCTTTAACTCATGACAGTCAAATTAATATGAAATCTATTTTTAATTATTGATATTGTTATAAAGGCCTCCTACAAATTGTGATTTCTTAACATCGCAAATTAAGATTCAGTTGGTAAATCTCAAAATAAAGCAGGTGCAAAAATTCCCGGTTTACAGTAGTAGATACTTGGCCAGCCATAACACATGTAACAGATTGAACTTTGAAGTTCTTCTTAGATGTTGTACATATATAAATAAAGGCAACAATTTAGTATACCACTATTCGAAATTCATAAATCGATTGAGAAAAAAACAAATCCGGGTTACAAACTAAAACTGAGGGAAACACATCGAATATAAGAGGAAAACAACGACACAACAGAAACTTAACACTAAAATGCAACACACACTGAAACGAACTATAATATAGCAATGGCCATTTTCCTGACTTGGTACAGGACATTTTAAGAAAAAATGGTGGAGCATATAAGAGTCAGTTAGAGGTCTGATATGTAACACAGAGGTCCTGGGGATTCTAATAAGAATCATGCACCCTGGTTTCAGTACTAGCAGAAAGGTCAATTTAGGTCTACAGTGGGGGTTGCACTATCACGAAAAAAGTGTCAATACGCATTGCAGAAAACTTGTTTTGGGGAAAAAAAAACGTCATAGGACATTGTGACAGGAATATACAATGAATTTGCTGTGTGACGTCAAATTTTTTCCAGGAAAATGACAAATGGCTAAAATTTATCGTCAAATCCACAATTGACATGCCTTGGAACAACATTTTCATGATTTTGAAATGCTGATATTCACAAATGTTTGATTAATAAAATATAATCTAAAATAAAACATAACCATGATAACCATGATAACCATGATAACCATGATAACCATGATAACCTACATTGTACCTAAAAAATGCAGTTTCAATGAAATGTTATCCAAATCTATATTGTACAAATAATGAAATATTCTTTGGTTTGAACATTGTCATTTGTATGGCTTCATCGTTTTGCCATGATATTTATGCACCAAAATCATTCATAAACTTTAGCTGTATTTTATTTGGTCTTATACATTTTAAGAAGCTCTGACAAATGTAGTATTTCTTTTAGTGTATGCATTGGAATAGGAATGACAGTACTGTAGTTGAAGAGTCACCGCTGTCAATTGACTGTTGCTATTGCAGTCGCATAGCCAAAACAGTAAACAGATATTTGCTACAATCAAATCGCCAATTACCTGTAAGATTGTTGTGGGGCTCATATGGAAGGATCCTATCCTTTTGAGCCCACCTAATTTTGGTACACTTTCAAAACTGATAAAAACATCAATCCTGCATGGTTTGGTGCAATATTTCACACAATTAAAAAGTTATAGAAAAACTATTTGTGTCCTCATCAATTACTTAACTGATACATTACTGACTCCCAATGACAGTATATACTAATTTTAAAAGCTTCCATAGTTTTTGAAGAAATAACTTCAACTGGTAGGTTATTCCAATCATTTATAATACGTTGTGAAAAATGTTTTAAACGAAAAGAAGTGTTACATCTAGGTTTCGCTAATTTCCAATTATGCCCACGGGTATTTGTCCTGATGACAGTAAAAAATCTTTCATAAGATATATCTTAGTTTCCTTTTATAATTTTAAAAGCTTGTATCATATCACCTCTTCGCCTTCTGTGAGTAAGAGAAGGAAGTTTAAGTACATTTAACTCTCGTTGTCTCGAACTTGGATAAGAGACATAAAATGCTATTATAATAATAAAATACCATAACAAATGCTATTATAATAATAAAATACCATAACATACAAAAACATCGATCTGAGACCAGAATATTGATCCCCTTCCCATCCGGATTTATTTTAGCCTTAGCAAGCTAAGCAAGAGTTATGTCCCTTGGACTGTCAAACTTCCGGTTTTCGTTTGAGTCGAACTACGGGTATCTCAAAATATTTCTCTGGTCCAGCTGACTTCGAGATAACGAGAGTCGACTGTACTTGTAATCTTTCTTTATAACCTAAATGTCTTATATCAGGAATTAACAGGTTGGGAACAAACCCTCTGTATGGTGTTTATACCTGTATAGAGGAATAATCCTTCTATAGAGGGATAAAATTATCCCTCTAAAGAGGGGTATTTTTGTTAAGACTGGATTTAAAGCAAAATAGGGCAGAATGGCATTTCCTACTTATTATGGCAGTAACCTGCAACATTTGATGCACCAATTGATGTTCTTAATTTGATATGCACATGCCCAGTTTACCAGTCAGGGGACTTACTTAAATGAAGTAACATTATGTCCATAAAGGTTGGAAGTAAGAGTTGTCTTTCTTTAATAATCACCTATTTAAGTAGTACAAATTAATCACTAGACTAAGTGATTTAATTTTATTGTAGCTTTAAATATAGAATACTAATGATCCAGGGACTAATTATGTTGCTAAAATTATCAGAACCAACATCTGTGTTGATAGGATGACCGGGTCATGTCAGGTGATGACCTTGTACTAAATCTAGGATAATGACATAAAAATCACTTGTTTAAATATCATACCTCAATTTCCTTCCAAAAAATCACTTCTTTAAAGGGAAACTTCGCAAAAAAATGAAAAATTCATATTCTGTTCATTATGTATAAAAAAGCACAAATTCATAGATATTAAAGTTTTATTCAGCAAGTTAAGAGATCAACATCGATTTTAAATTTAGAGTATCAATTCTCCGCATGCGGCCATTTTGACATCCTCCCCGAATATTGACCACGATATATCTATAAACCACAAAGGACCAAAACAAGCAGTAACCTAACGTAGCCGTAATTGAGTGTCGATATCTTGTCAAGCGTACGGTTGTTTTATCCGACAAGGAAAGCATAAACAGTTTCCCGGGTCACAAAAAAGATTATGATAGACATGGTTGTGCAACCTTTCCTAACTAACTTGATACGGAAAATGTAATTTTATATATATTATTTTTTAAATAACTAGTACTAATAGTATGGTCTGTCGTTTTGAAACTGTTTTGTTTACGAAGTATTTTAAACAAGAAATTGAAATTAGTTAAAAAGTCAAAGTTATAAATAAGTGTTCCGTGTAAAATTGTTTTTGAAAATCTAGTTTGTTCATAATTGTTTAAAATAAATTCGGACCTTTCCTTATCTGATCACTAGAATGGCTAAAGGAATTGTTCCCAGAGGTATTGTGAGGTGACACGTACAGGTATTCAAGCGATTTCCTGTCGGGCTTTAAAACTGTTATTACACAATTACATAAAACAAGTTCGTGCATCACTTCTTTTCTGGGGGTATTGATCAGTGTACACGGCCGATAACATGTAACTTCCATTTTGAATCTATCAGGTGTAATATACAACTTTGTATAGCGTATCCGATAGTGATATACTAGTCATTGCTAAACTCATACGCTTGTTTATAAATAACATTTTTGGTGTAAAGAATGATATTTATGAAAATTTAAATAATTTTTAAAAAAAAGATTTGATGAAATAAAAATCTATTTACACATTTTCCAAGGGTAAATTGGGGAAAATGTAAGTATATACTCGTCAATAATTATGGACATTTTGAAACATACAAATATTGATTTATCAAAATGTGCGGCACATGTCGATC